AATTTTTTTTTTTTTTTCATTCATCAGTCGCTTGGTCCGGACTCGTGCTTTGCATCCTCTCGCCGGAGATCGGTTGGGCTAACCGCCGGTGGTGACCACACGTCGATCGAGCTCATCGGAGCTGATAGGCCGGGACTTCTCTCTGAGGTCAGCGCCGTGCTGACTCACCTCAAATGTAACGTTGTGAGTGCAGAAGTGTGGACTCATAACACTCGAGCTGCCTCGGTTATGCGGGTCACGGACGAGCTTTCCGGTGGCCCGATCCACGACCCTGACAGGCTGGCGACAATTCGCCGACTTTTGTGTAATGTGGTTAAAGGGAGCAATAAGTCGAGGGATGCGAAGACAGCTGTCTCGTGTGGGGTTACGCACACCGAGAGACGGCTTCATCAGATGATGTTTGATGACCGGGATTATGATAGGATTGATGAGGATTATGATGATGGGGAAGGATTAGGAAGGGAGATTATTAGGCCGATGGTGAATGTTGTTAATTGGGAGGATAAGGATTATTCGGTGGTTACTGTTAGGTGTAAGGATCGGCCGAAGCTTTTGTTCGATATTGTTTGCACGTTGACTGATATGCAGTATGTAGTGTTTCATGGGAATGTTGATACTGAGGGCTTGCAGGCTTATCAGGTATTATTTTCTATGATTCTCAAGAGTCATTTGTGTGTGTATGATGTGATCTGAGTTTNAGGAATACTGCATAAGGCACATTGATGGGTCGCCCGTGAAATCCGATGCAGAGAGGCAAAGGGTAATTCAGTGTCTTGAAGCTGCCATACAAAGACGAGTGTCTGAAGTAAGTATGAAATGAAGAAATATCGAATCTCAGTTTTTCAGTGCCTCTGGATTTTCATGTAGCAACTACTCAGTTACTTAAATCATAAAAATATGAAAAAACAAAAGAATAACACTCTGTTGAATGACTTTTGTAGCCAGTGATATTTTGACCAAATGTCTGCTCTACTCCAGAAATTGTTTAAAATTTTGGAACTTTTTTTGTTCATGTTCCTCAATCTGTTCACATGCACTTGTCTCAGCATTATCTTTATGAACATTTTTCTCCAGTTTTATATACTAATATTCTTTTATAGTTTTTTTTTACTATAAACTGTTGTTTATTTTTATTTAATAGGGGTTGAAGCTGGAACTATGCACGACTGATAGAGTCGGGCTTTTATCTGACGTGACAAGAATTTTCCGGGAAAGCAGCCTAACCGTAACTCGAGCTGAGGTGTCAACAAGAGCTGGCAAAGCTGTCAACACATTTTATGTTCGTGACACTTCAGGATATCCAGTTGACCCCAAAATAATTGACTCGATTCGCAAAACCATCGGTCAAACCATACTTCGGGTCAAAGGGGCACCTGAAGAGTCAAACCAAGAATCGTCACCCACTCGATTTTTGTTCGGTGGCCTTTTCAAGTCGAGGTCTTTCTGTAATTTCGGTTCGGTTAAGTCGTATTCGTGAAATCTTGAAGATTATCGTGTTTTGTTGCTTTTTCCTTTTTCGGTGTATATTCTGAACTCTGTCCTCTCCTCTTTTAAGATTAGTTTTTCAAGGTTGTAAATAACAAAACATTTCTGCTTGTGGTGATTAGTGAAAAGAATTTCACTATTTTAAGTTTGATGTTTGTAGTTTGTAGAGAATGAGTTGTGGTTGTATGTGGTTTTGGGAGCCAATAGGTATCTTTTGAAGATCTTTGAATTGACTTTTGAGTTTTTGGACTAATCTTGGAGGTCAAGGACTTGGACAGTGAAACAAATCGAAAATATTCCTTGGAATAAATATGAATAATAAATAAACAAATAAATAAATAAAATTCTAGCGCAAATGTTGCAAGAAATCATGATGAAGATGGCCCCGGTGTCCTGAATTTGGCTAAAATATAATATTTGGCATGCAATTGTTCCATTAATTGCATGTGCCTCGATGGTAACATCTACAAGATCATGTTAGGTTAGTTCAATTGTTGTTGAATGTGGGGACCTTAATAATATTACTACCAAGATTTTACAAAGACTTGGGGAGCATATTTCAATTTCAGAAAATGACAAGTGATTAATTTTATGCGACCTTTTTGTTATTGTATTTGAATATTCTGATTAATTTTTTGAATATTCTGTTAATTCTTAATGCTTTCGTGTGTGGATTGGATTGCATAAGTGAAAATGGGTATGTTAAGAGTGATTGAAATTGCTTGGAAGGTTCTTAATTTGGTGATGGTTGACAATTCATTTTTTTTGTTGGAATATATTTTTAGTACATTATGGGCCATGAGGCCTCCGAAATTATTGAAAGAATCAACAAATTTGACCGTCTCTTGAAATTGATTTGCATTCTAAAAGTTTGTTACCCAAATAAAGTTTTTTGAAATAAAATTAAAGTCTTTATTATTCCTTATTGAATTGAATATTTGGAATCCCTTATTGAATTGAAATTTTAATTTTGAACTAAATCTTTAATTTAATGACCTAGTTTCAAAGAATATTGAATAATCATTTTCGAAGTGAGTGTCGGAATAATTCGATTCAATTTTCAGCGTCGTTTTCAAATTGGATCTCTAATAATCCAATATCCAAAATTACGAAAAAACTTTGTCTTCTCCATGGATGCAAATAGATCTTCAAATCTTTTTGTACGAAAAGGGGGAGCTAAAGCCGAGACAGGGCACAAAATATCGGATGTTAATTTCTTTGACCATTTACATCTGTAAAGGGATATTTATCAGTAATTTGTAAATCATATAATTACCCTATGTAGTCTGTAGAGCTAGCGTGAAAAAGGTATTTAAAAAAGGTATAGACTATNTTATGTTACACAAAGTGAAAATTAGTTTTATCGTTTTTTTTTTTTTTTTTTAAATGAGCTTTCTAAGTAAATTAGTTAAAATTGGAAATTCCCCGGAATTTAAGGAAGAAAAAAGCGGAGCTGCATAAATTTCATGAACCAAATCATTTCCTTGGACTCGTTCAGTTGAATTTCACGTAGTAATCATTTAAGCTAACAACAGATTAATTGACATAGAATTTATTCTCAAATAATTTTAGCTAACATAACAGATTAGTTGGCAAAAAACTTTATTTAATTTTATATGGTTAGTTGTTATCAAACACTTTAGGTCTTAGCCTTTTGCACAAATCAAACTCTTTCACAACTAGCTGTAACCACTTGCAAGTTTTGGGTCGATAATTCACTTCAATTTCATCAACAACACTGATTTAGCATATTAATATTTATTGATTGGTTATAAGTGGGCAGAACTTTTACTAAGTAAAGGTTTTAAATATAAAATATAAGATAAATTTATATATAGCATGGTCTCGTCTACATTGTAGGTCTGGACATATGATAAATCTGGATATCAAAGGATATTCTTTGTTTCGTTTTCTTGATTTCATCCTGCTATAAATTTAGCAGCCCGGGTTGGCCCAAGGGTTACAAAAATACCCCTCAAATATTAGCGAAACTTCCCAAATTAACCTCATTCCTCCACATTTTTACATTTTTGCAGCAATATAAGTTGCTCTATCTCCTCTTTCAGCCCGAAGGATGTGCTTGATACAAAAATTTTAGCTAAAAATATTTTTTTTTGTTAATCAAAGTTAATTTAAAAAAAAATAGTATGATTAGTTGTTATTAAAATTTTGAGTTATATTAAAGTAATATTTAAAATATAATAATTAAAGTTGATTTGATGTAAAAGTAAGAGATAGATGATGTGAAGTGATGATTACTTAAAATTATATAAGTAGATGAATAGTGAATTAAAGTTAGTGTTTAGTTAAACTTGAGTTAGATATAGTATGGAAAAAATATATATACCCAAGCCCGACCTAATTCCGCCGTGTTCCGCCAACCATGTTTCTGTTGAATGAGCTCTCGAGCGCCATCACCGTCATCATCATCATTGTCCACCGTCGATGGCGCTTACAATCACCCTTAGAGCCAAGTCCAAATCCTTAGATTTGAAATTCAAGTTTCCCAAAATCCCAATTTTCCATAAATCCAAAAGCATTAAACCTCATATTCATCAACTGTTAGATCTATTTTGTGATTAAATATGTTAATTGAGATATTGAGTCATTATATTGTTAGATCTATTTTGTGATTATATATGTTAATTGAGATATTGGGTCATTATATTGTTTAGCCAAATTAAATAATCAAATCTATATATATATAATTGTAGGCTATCCAATTAATGCGTATAGCCTACTTTTCCCGCCCATTTTTTAAGTTATTTTTGGTATGTTTCACATATCATTTTATTTGTATTGTTGTAGTTAATATTCTATTATTTAATAAAAGTTGTAACGGTCATGTCTTAAAAGTTAATATAATTGCACTCTTTGTTAGTTTGTTAAGTAAAACTATATTTTTTATGTACTCATTACAATATTGTAACACATTCTTTCATTTGATTTTACATTTACTTAACATTTGAATTTTATCTTTCCAATGTAACTATATATATTCTTTCATCTGATATTATACAAATATAGTATGTATATCATTTGTCCGATAATTCTCTGAAGAAAGATAAATTTATATGGTATATAAGATTTACGCTATCCAGTTTAAATTTATTATTTTTTACTTTGGTAATACTTTTATGTTTATTATTAATACAATATTCAAATGGTATAAATTAGGTTATTTATTATATTCATATAATAGTAGTCATTTAGTATAGGGTAAATTCTACATTATAAAAATTCGACTAAGAGTTTTTAATGTAATTTGATTATAAATGTGATACATACTATTAAGAAAAATTTTATTTTATAAAATATTTATTTATTTTTATTAACCTGTGCATGTGCACAGAATTAATACTAGTTGCTAAGGAACTTAATTTAGATTGTGGAGTGATTAAATGTGGACACTCGGTAATATTATCATTTGGTGACGTAACAGATAATAATATTAAACTTCAAGACCTAAATAGCAAATAATGTGGGCCAAAATAGTTAAAGGATGGAGTCCCCAAAAGCCGTGAAATTAAATGAGGCCTTGAAATTGTTTATTAAGGGATAAAAAAGAAACTGATGCCTCTTAACCTCTTCATTTAGTTTTCTAATTACGTCAAAAGAAGAAAGATTAATGTTTCACGGTCTTTTGGAATATTTCCAAAGAAATCCCAAAATTCAAAATCCCAATTGAGTTCGAAAGCAATCAATCGAGATGAATCCTTCAGGTACGCTTCCGCTATTCGGTTTGATTTTCGATTATTCAATATGAAAGCTCATGGGATTAAACAATTTATTTTGCATAAGGTTAAATCCGATTTCTATCAATTGGTATAAGAGCCTACTCATCTTGGATTTAAGGAAATCGGTTTATTTAGATCCATATGTGAAATCTCATAGTTTGTTTTTCTGAATTCGCCTTGAATCCATTAGGTTTTGGATTCATACAGTGTTGTGGATATTGGTAAATTTATATGTGGTCTGTGGTCTGATTTGGATTAATGAATATGATATCGGATAATTAATTCGTGTTTCTTCAAATCGTTTGTCCTGAACTCAATTTACCATGGGAATTTGTCTATGTTAACATACTCAATATTTTTTTTTTCAACAACAAACAAACCAATATATAAAACTCAAAGTTATTGTTCATACAACATGAGTACCCAACTGGGTACAAGCTCACAAGCAACTCCATCAAACAGAATCACTACAAGCAACGAGAGATTAATACTAATCTCCCTGAAAAGCTCTAAGGCTAAAGAAAAAGAACTAAAACAAGCTATTATATCATAAACAAAACAACACTTAACAAAGGATGCAACAATTATCTTTATATCAGCTACAATGGCCACCCCCGCACCACATGTCTCTTCCATCTAGTCAGTACTCGAGCAGTTGGGTAGGAATCAACACAGCAACATATAGAGTTTGAAGCTCATGTCTTATGCAACTTTGTCAATCCCCATCTAACAGCTCTAAGCAGAGCTTCCTCATCATTTGCAGTCTTTTCAGAGCATTCTTTCCAGCTGAACTTCATACCTCTGTCATCCTCCACCAATGCACCAAAACCAATTCTCCCATCTGGAAATAAGGAAGCACTAACAGTGAGCAACAACTGTCCTACCCTTCTTCCATATATGCCCTGCCTCCAACTACTCACACCACTATGATTCCCCTCAGTCCCTCTCCACTCCTCACTCTTATCCCCAGCTGTAATCTCCTCAAACTCCCTCCACTCCTTCCATGCTCCATCCACTACATCTTTATCCCTACTTCTTATCTTGTTAAGTACCCATGAGTTCCTGGTTCTCCACAACCACCATAATAGGTATGTTGAGAGATTGATTCTATCCTGAAAACATCCACCTCCCTTATCGTTGTTTTTTTTAACATAATTATTTTTATAAATATTGTTTTACAAAAGATACAATTAAAATTCCAAATCTTTGTTAAAACATAACAAAAACAAAACTGTTCTCAATATTGGAATGAATTTGGCATAAAAATGAGAATGATTGAAAAAAAAAAAGATATACTCAAAATCCACACTTTAAGGTAACAACTTTTTTTATATTCTATATAAAATTAAACTTCACCAGATAAATCATATCTTTAGTATTTAGCACAATATTACATATTTTCCTATAGTTTTATTTCGTGGTGGTAACATTCCAAAAATCAACAAAAAATTGAAGGAATGAGGTGTCTATTCAATTCGCAATTACCAAGTAGAGAACAATCTTGGTAAATATTGATCTACGGTTGCCAAGTACAAAATAATTTTGCATGAAAAAACAAAGAGGTTCTTAATAATGTATGACTTTTTCATGATGAATATTTTACGATTACCTAACAAATGCTCTATGTATTATAACTTATTGATTAATGCCTTCAATTATAAATTTTACCAAAACAAATACAACCCATACATCGTGCACGGGGCTACGTACTCGTATTTACTAACAATATATGGATGTCAATATTATTCTTTTACTAACAATATATATAGATGTTAATACTATTATTTTATTTAATATTAATAATTACAATAAATAATTTTAAAATAAAATTATAATTAAATTATCAATTTTTAATAATACGTAAAAATGTTATACAAAATTACATGAAAACATTATATATAAACAAAAAAATCTACACAAAATTGTTTGATATTAAAAAAGAAAAAAAAAGCATAAAAATAGGAGAATAAATTTTACACAAGAAAAAAAAACAATAATGCTATCGGGACATCCAGTTTTACAACTCAAATGACAACTGCATACGTGTAAAGTAAATCTTAACTTATTTAATGTATAAAATAAAAAAATAATCACTAAACCATCTTCAATTAAAAGACTCACACAGGCCACAACCAAACAAAACCTAGTAGGGTAAAATTGTTTCTTAGCTTTTCCCGATTTTCAGATTTGATTTTTTATTTCGAATTTTTGGGTGCAAACAACGTCAGCCGACTTTGTGGTGACCAATCGTTTCGTGGTACTCTTTTCTTGTGGAGAAATATGATGACAAATGACACAGGTAAACCATTCATTACTTTGTGTGTAGCTTTTGACAGTGGTGATAATTGATTGATTTTTTCAGTTTATTCGATGGTGTTTTTTTTTTTTTTTCCTTCAGATTTTCTATAATTTCTTTATCTAATAATAATCCTAATATTATGTAGGAAACCAATTTTCTGGGCTCAATTATAATGAAGAAAGAAAAAAGCAGTTGGTGGAGAATGAGTGTTTGGAAGGTAATGAGATAGTTACAAAGGATGTTGTTGAAAGTGAATTGCACATTGGAGTACCCATTGAAGATGAAACATCTATGCCAGTGATTGGAATGAAGTTCCAAAATTACGACAAAGTGTTTGAATTTTACAAAAAATATGCCGCTCGTGTGGGTTTTCCAGTTAGAAAGAGAAGTGCAAGGAAAGACAAAGACGGTATCATAAAAAATGCAATGTTTACTTGTAGCCGAGAGGGACAAAAAATGAAATCAACTTCCGCTACTTTCAAACCACAACCCACCATTAAAAATGGGTGTGAAGCTCGGTTGACAGCTTGTTCGGATATTACGGGGACGTGGAAAATTACAGGTGTCCATCTCGAGCATAATCATGCTATAAGTCCCTCTAAATCAAGATTATATCGTTGCCATCGTCAGTTAAACACCAATATTAAACGACGACTTGAGGTGAATGATGTAGCTGGAATTCCTTTACATAAAAGCTTTAATTCGGCTGTTATAGAGGCTGGTGGGTATGAAAAGATGTCATTTATTGAGAAGGACTGCCGAAATTATATTGCTAAGGTTCGACGTTTGAGACTCGGAGAAGGGGATGCAGCTGCAATTCAGTCTTACTTTTCTAAAATGCAGGCTAATTGTCTGGGTTTTTACTTTAGCATTGACTTGGACGAGGAGTTTCGGTTGAAAAACGTATTTTGGGCTGATAATAGGTGTAGAAAAGCATATCAAGAGTTCGGAGATGTAGTGACGTTTGATACCACGTATTTAACAAATAAGTATGATATGCCATTCGCCCCTTTCGTAGGTGTTAACCACCATGGTCATTCTACGCTGTTTGGATGTGGCTTAATATCTAGCGAGGATACAGACACTTTCGAATGGCTATTTAAAACATGGCTTGAGTGCATGGAGGGACATGCTCCCATCGGAATAATAACAGACCAAGATAGGGCAATGAAAAATGCTGTCCAAATAATTTTTCCGAACACGAGGCATAGATGGTGTTTGTGGCATACACTAAAAAAGTTGCCTGAGAAATTTGGTGGTCATCCGCAAAAAGGTGCTATCATGTCGACAATTCATGAAGTGGTTTATGAATCTCAAAGTCTAGAAGAATTTGAGCAGGGTTGGATCAATATGGTTCACTTGTATGAACTACACGAGAATGAGTGGTTGTTTAGCCTCTATGGTGAAAGAAATCGTTGGGTTCCGTGCTTTCTGAAGACGAGTTTCTGGGCGGGGATGTCGACAACACAACGTAGTGAGAGTATTAATGCATTTTTTGATGGATATGTCAATGCTAAAACAACATTGAAGCAATTTGTTGAACAATACGAGAGGCACTGCGTAGTAAAGTGAAGAAGGAGATTCAGGCTGACTGTAAGTCATATTCGGCGATGGTTCCATGTGCTACTTTGTATGAATTAGAAAAACAATTTCAAGCCATTTACACCATCAATAAGTTCAAGGAATTTCAATCTCAATTTACAGGTATGGTTTACTGTGAGATTATATCCAAAGAGGATGGATGTGAGAAATTCTTACGGGGACATGAATACATGGTTCAGGAGGATGTTATTTGCAATGGAAAAAAATATAAGAAATTCTACATTGTTCAAACTCAAAAGGAATCAGGAAACTTTGTTTGTAGTTGTCATTTATTTGAGTTTCGAGGGATAATTTGCAAACATGCTATCACAGTTTTGATTCGCAATGATGTGACGTCCGTTCCTGACATGTATATGTTGAGGAGGTGGAGAAGAGATGTGTGTAGATCATACCAAAGGGTGAAGATCAACTATGATGGTTGGATCTCGACACCTGATCAATTACGATATGATAATTTGTGTCGTGCTTTTGCAGTGGTGGCCGACAAGGTGGCGAATGATGATGTGAGAGCAAGTAAGCTTATGGAGTGGATCGGATCTGTATCTAATGATTTGGATTTAATGAATATGGATCAAAGAAGTGAAGAAAAATCTAATTTGGACCAAAGTATTTTGGTAGATTCTGTTAATAGAGGAGTGGATACAATTTTGGGACCAAAAATTTCTGATCCAAATCACGTGAAAAGAAAAGGAGCTCCCCGAAAATTACGTCAAAAAGGGGCACTAGAAAAGATTTCTAAGAAATTAAAGGTAAATTGTAATCTATATATGGTTATGTTAGATCATCATTTTATATATTTAAGTTTATTAATCTTATATCTTGACTATGTAGGTCTCGTCAAAACAAAAAAATATGGCATCCTCTAAACCACATGAAAGTGCCACATATGTTCAACCAATGGTGCAGGCTAATCTTCCCACCTTAGCTCCAATGTCATATTCACAGGAGTTATTTATACCCTCTTTTGTTCCTAATTGAGGAACTAATGTGCTGGCAACATATGAGGGGGACAAAACGTCGAAGTCGTCAATGGTTAACCAACATCCATACCTAGACTAGCAGAATGGTTGATCCTGGACGAAGTTTTGGCTTTGCTAATTGGTGTGTCATTTGGTGTGATTATTTATTTTGATTGGATTACAGTACTTGAAACTTATGCCGTCTCCCAGTGATGTTCTTGTGGACATGTGACTTTGATTTCAATTTCGTTTTTCCCTAGTAATGTTCTTGTGGACTTGTTTTGAATTGATTTGAACGCTTTTTGAATTGGTTTGTGAGTGCAGTTTGATTCCACTAGCATCTTTTTTTTTTACACGTTTGTTATTTATTTTATAAATATGGAATGATGTGGTTTACATTATGTGAGAGTTAATAGTGTATAGCACCTTGGGTGATATCTGCTTGAGCTGCATGGAATGAGCAGGTTTTTATGGGACCTATTGTCCTTACAACATATTTTTTGTGTATCGATTATCTGCACTTAATGTGTGGAGTAATTTATCAGTATTCCAGTTTTTGTGAGTAAAATCTTGTAACATTAAAAGGTTAGTTTCAGGATTCTCTTATCTCTGTTAATTGAAGGAATCTTACAACCTTTTGAATTTTTATGCTCAGGGGTTACACTACACAAGGTTGCTTACTTTATATGGACAAAGATAATCACTTTCATTTTGCACAAAGCACAGTTGGAAATGAAAAATATCATATCATTCTTGCATAAAAAATGAGTTCAACCATATATTCCAACACAAATAGCCTTCATTGCATTATTCAGATAACCATTGGGCATGAAATGAAGTAAAAACATGAACTTCAAACTGCAATAATACATCTGCAATAATACATCAGAGAACAAACACAAATCTAAGACCCTACTAAATTGGTTTCCATTCCCCTCAAGGATAACGTTTCCAGGCACTGTTGTCCTCCCGGTTGTTCCTAAATGCACAACACCCAACCGAGTAAACAATGATTAAGAACACAAGGAAAACGATGTTTATAACGGAAACTCTCTTCCAGTCGGTCTTGATTTATCGAGAAGGCCAGCCTTGCACGAGTCGCAGCCATAGCAGAGCACTCTCGGCTCATTGCTCCACCGAGCACAGTCTGGGTTGCTAGAAGCTGGTGTTTGTGGCCTTGTCCAGTTTGTTGGGCTCACGTACGTGAAGTTGCAATCATTCGAGGGCTTACAGCATCCAGAATGGTAAATTTCAATGTGAAAAAACTATGGTTAAGTGCCAAGCTATAGGGGAAAATAAATAGTTTACTTACTAGAACCATATTTTAGAAAGGAAAAATGAACTTCAATTTGAAGTTGAACTACTAGCAAGCAATGGTTTAAGCAAATTGTTTGTACTTCTTAATATGGGGTCAAATTTAAAATTACAAGGAAAAAAAATGGACCATATTCAAAAATTCATTTTGCAAGATAATCATGTCAGGCAGTGGATAATAAGAAGGAAGAATTTTACAGAATAGTCAGAGGCAGAAAAGCCATTTTCCCAAGCTAATAATGGGAGAAACCAATTTAAAGGCACTCAACTTTTTATCAACCTAACACAACATAAAGCAAAAAGAAAGATTCTGGAGCAAAAGTTTCTATTTTCCAAAATATAGATTTCATTGTCTACACTGCACATACTGTTTATAACATATCTGTTTATCTCAATCTTTATAATCAAAGCAAGAATCATCATCTCAAACCTCTCAATATTTGATTCTCTACAGTATCCCTTTTTTTCCTTTTTCTTGATGTAGTGTATATGAAGAATTCATATGAAATTAAGTGAAATCTAGAACCAAACACCCAGAACACCATAAAAAATCTTATACACCATTGCTCAAACAACTCAAGATATCAAAAAATATTTAAGAACCAAAGAACAATTTAACACAAATCCTCAAGATATCAACAAATACTCAAGAACCCATGAACAATTTAACAAAAATCCATCGACTCAGAAGAATATTTCAAAGAAAAAATAAGAAAATAACTATACCTGAAGCGCAGATAGATGCTCTCGGTAAAAATCGTCCACCGGGGTCGAACCAGCCTGAAGCAGCCTCTGACAAATGTTACTGTCAACCAAATAGCTCCTAACCCGGCCCCAGTGGTCGTTGACCCTGTTCTGTAGCCAATTCGAGTAGTCCCCGAGCCTGTACTCCCTGTACCCCCTGCCGGAGAGGACCTTGCCGGCGACACTGTTGGTCACCACGAAGGTGGCTGACGTTGTTTGCACCCAAAAAATCGAAATAAAAAATCAAATCTGGAAATCGGGGAAAGCACATAAACAATTTTACCCGATTATCTCTCGTGCTATGTATGTTTCTCCCTGAATTGGAATTGAAGATGGTTCCTTACTTCCTTCTAGGTTTTGTTTCGTTGTGGCCTGTGTGAGTCTTATAATTGAAGATGGTTTAGTGATTATTTTTTTATTTTGTACATTAAATAAGTCAAGATTTACTTTACACGTATGCAGTTGTCATTTGAGTTGTACAACTGGATGTCCTTATAGCATTATTGAAAAAAAAAAGGATTGTGGCGCAAAAATAGCTCAGTCAATAAACCCTTTTTTTCACCTCCTTCTGCCGCGTCACTGCTATTCACGGCTCCGCTCCGCCGCGTCCACTGCAACTTCACGGCTCCACCACAGGCCGGCGAGAGTAGACTCCGCCGCCTCCACAGCTCCACCTCACCCTCCTCACAACCAACCTCCTCCCGGTCAGAAGATTCCTGCTCGGCTCACGCATCTCGTCGGCACTCCCCAATTCCCCGCTCTTCGACTCCTCCACCTCCAAATCCCCTGCTCCTCGACTCTCGGTACCCTACATCCCAGCTCCGCAGCTCCTCGGCCCTCGACTCCAATGGTAACATTTTTTTCTTTTTTTTAAGAGATTATGAATCAGTTGAAATTGAGCCTCTTCTTCATTCACTTGATTATTTAGATTTTCTGTTTAATTGGCATGATTATTTATTAAACTAATAGAGTTAGATATGAATGATCGACTGATTCTTGCTATTTTAAGGATTGGATTTCTTTAAACTAATTGCTTAATTGTGAACTAAATTGATAGCAGTGTTTATTCAAGTAGCTTATTCTGATGAATTGTGAATTGTGAACTAGAATGATATTGCTGTCTTGACTGGAGGTTTGGAAGAATAGAAGTAAGCAATTCTCCTGGAAGAATAGAAGTAATAGAGTATATAGTAGGGCTGCTCATTAAGGGGACCTTCATGTCTAAACGTCTCGAAACCTTCTCCCTGTTCAGCCCCAATCACCTGGAATAAAATACAGAAAAAAAAATCTACAATTAATTATAGATGGCTATATAAAGGCACGAAATTACAAGTAAATCCATTTATAATTACAAGTACATCTTATTTTATCTTGAAATTTCGTGACTATATATAGCCATCTATAATTANTATTTTTATTCCAGGTGATTGGGGCTGAATAGGGAGAAGGTTTCGAGATGTTTAGACCTGAAAGGTCCCCTTAATGAGCAGCTCTACTCTATACTCTACCTGTTGACCTCTTGGTTTCTGATTTGGTGATAATTGTTTCATTTCAACAGCAATGGCAGACAATCTCAAAGGAGCTCTCAAAAAGGAATGGAACACTAGAGATTTAACAATCCTAACCTCTGAACTCAAGGAACACGAATCACTCCATTAGGCTCAAGCGCAGGTAAACAGCCACAACTTTACTCGCCTTTTGCATTTGTTGGCCTTCTTTTTCGGTTATTTCATAATCATAGCAGAAGCTTACAAAAAGAGTTACCGAAATTGCTTGGCAGGTGGTTGATGGATTTGCCATTGTCCGAAAAGGAACAGAAGAAGGTAGAGGAGATGCTACCTCCTAACGATAAGTAAGCAACTACTTCTTCTAATTGTTGTTTGTATTTTTACGTTAGTATGTATGATTTGATAATTATGTCATGAACATTAAGCTTAGATTGGCTAATTATTGAATGTTAAACCAATGCATCACTTGAGCACAATATGAATTACTTGAATGATAAAATGCTTGGATTTAAAATGTAGTGTTTGACCGGCCGTATGGTTATAACATTATGTTTTATTTGGTTGTATGGTTAAAATGTTTGTGCTTTTATGTTGTTGTGATGCTATCTAACATGGTTATATCTCTTAACTAAATGAAGAATCAATGAGAATGAATACGTGAAATTTGTTGCAGAAGGTGAGGATGAAGCAATTCTATCTCACACTCAAATGTCACAGTTAGTTGTATATATGAAAGCATGGATAGAACTCTGTCTTATTCAAAATGGGTTTGTAAGAGAAATTGAAGCCGAGATTGGTTTTCTTTATTAATTTACTTTCTGTTCTTTTAGGCCGTTCTCTGTGCGGTGAACTTCATCGTGAAATAGAAACTTAAAAATGGCCGTATTTAATTATTAGTTCCTCTTTTGTATCTTCTTATGTGTATCCCTTCATTAACTTCAAAGCTTCTCAATGATTGTGAGTGAAAATAGATTGATGTTATCTTGATTTTTCTCCTTTTGAGTTTATAGGGTACTGCCGGAATCATTAATTAGGGAAGATGATGTGAGTATCTGTATTACGCAGCACTATATCGCAGTTTCTTATATATTTTGTTTACTATTATCATGATTTGCACCATGATTTTATATTGCATCACTAAAATCTATAGAGAGAATAATGAAGCATTAATTTATAAACATGTACATGAATAGATGTAGAAATCTGTTCCTGGTGTGGTGAAATTCAGCAACAGTTGGAAGGAAGTAATAGACTATGCATTGGTGAAAATAGGTTATGTTGATTATGGTAATGTAAGGAGAATATGACAAACTTAAGGAACTTTTTGGAGTGCCAACTTTACCAGTGTTTAATGTGTAGTAATTTTGTAATAAAATTGATCAATTCTGTAAAGTAGAGACGATACAGATTTTGCTTGGTTATAGACTACCCGAGGTTACTTTGGTTTCCATGGCCCATAGAAGGCTCATATTGGTGCATGATTGAGGTTTTTATCTTACATATACTCTTTTAACAGGTAAGCTATGAGGACATCAGAGCTGCCATTGAGATGGGATTTGGAGCTCATAGCTATGGGAAGGAACGACAGTGTACACAAGAGGATGTACAAGTACTTAATCCACGTGAATGTCTTCAAAAAATATGCTCCCTGCTTGATGATATGTCTAATAGAGGCTTATGCTCGCTAATTGAGGTACTCACAGGGGGAATGATAAAACAAATTTGAGCATGAAGAGGACAATAAAAGAGTTGCTTCCAAAGCTCACTGCCAACAGAAACAATATTTCCGAAATAAAACTGAAGCAAATTTCTCAACTTTTGCAAGACCCAAAAAATTTCAAGGGGGGTCAGTTGTTGTGCTCGACCGCGTCCGAAGCCTATCGTGCTGCTGCAATTGATGTCCTAGACAGGCTCACGGACAAGAACTTCCCCATGAGAGCTTTACTTGCCATGCGTAGGAAGCTGAATGGTGTCAAGACTTACGTTCCCTCTCTTTGCCCCGAGAGATATGATTGTCGTGAGAAGTTATGCAGCAGACTGAAGAAGAAGTGCATGAAGTTACTGTTAGACTTCCATGATGGGGACGAGCCTGCAGAAGAATTGGCCAGAGCACTAGGAGTTGTGGGTTTGACGCTAAAGCTAATTATAAAGTGCAAAGATGTGCGGTACTTCCGGAAATTCTCACCAGAAATTGAGGCGTTGCAAAATGATATAGCGAAAGCTATTCATCTGATAGATCTCTCCATCTCCGAGAGACTGAGCTTGATAGAGCTGGAAAAGGTGCAGGTTTTGTTGGACCCTAATTTAGAGTTGTCTGTTAAGCTACGTGAATGTGATGTACAGAGTCTCTTGACCGAGTACCTGTTTGAGTGCAGTGACATGGACAGGATCCCTGGTTCTTTAGTAAAAACGGTTAACTTGATTAATACAATATCGCAATTTCCATCCCTCAAGAAACGACTGTCATCCAAGAGCCGCCTTTCGCCCCCTCAAGAATTAATGAGGGGTGTAATAGAGAAAGAAGTGGAACACATACTAACAGTGAGTGCTCTAGCAAAAGAAGTGGTGTTGAACATTATTCCAGAACATGAATTTGATGAAGACTTTGCTCGTGCGTACTTGGAGGATTTTGGAGGAAATAATAATTTTCTATGTATTTCTGATGATGAGCGAGTTGGGCGTTATGAACTTCATTCTAGCAAATCTTATGATGGCAAGTCTGAAAGTATTGGTGAGACAAATCTGGTAAAGAGAACAAGCAAAAGGTATGATGGCATTTCACCAACAGACGGTGGTTCTGATTGTTGGCTGTCCTGTAAGGAGTCAAAAGTAGTGGACTCGAGCCACAATGCCAGTGGTTTTAAAAGTGAAGAGGCTACAAGCTGTTGTTATTCTACCAATTGTGTGTCTTCTGAATTCCTGTTGGAGACGGATATTGTGAGCGGGTCCTGTAATAAGTACCTTCACGTCCAGGAAGCTTGTGATGCCTCCAGTATGGTCGCCTATCGTTTTGTGGGTTGGTTGCTGGAAGTGCTTGCGGATAGTGAAGACTTGAAATTATGCAAAGTTGATAGGTTGTATTTAGGAGGGTGATTCTGATTTCTGCAGGTAATGTGATATTATACCCTTTTAGATTCATGTGAAATTAATATTGGGATCATTGCTTAGTTTTTTCCAGTCATATATATGTTTGTCTGCTTGTCTATAAGTCTGCATTTTCAATTTGATTGCTGGTTATTTGTTCTAGTTCCCAAGTTTTTGGGAAGTGTTTAATTGCTACTAGGATACTTTGATGAAGTGGTTCATTATATGTTATTATCCTCTTC